TTTTTTAAGGTTTAACAAAAAGTTATATTTTTTTGCGAGTTTTTTTACGCTAGTTTTATGGTGGTTTGTCACATTTAAAAGGCACACTGGCTTATGTCCAAAAAATTTAGTTAATTTATGGCTCCTTTTGGAAACCAATTTTAAGATGTGAGCGGGGTATGACCCGTAACCCGCCCTCCCTTTACTTAACACGGGGGTTTCCATTCCAAGGCCCGGGGAAAAAAAAATTTTTTCCCCTAAGTGGGGAAACATACCCATTTAAAGGTAGTGTGTTTTTGTCAAACATCTTCGATTTTGGTTTTTAATGTCACTTTTGGGGCCATTTATAACAAATTTTTGTATATTTTTAAAAAAGGGTTTTTAAAAATGTACTGTACTATATTGGGAAATAAACAGAATAGAAGAAAACAGCTTAAATTTTAAAATTTTTTTAGGTATGAATACTGGCCCAGGGAGCCCGTTTAAAATCTGAAATTTTTGGGGAAACTAGTTTCATCGCTAAAATTAGGAGGGTGGGTTTTAAAAAAAAAAAAATTTGGGAAACTTTCCCGCTATTTCCCCCCAAGGAGGACCCCCCAAAAAAAGGGGAAAGGAAAACACATTCACTTTTATTCATTTTATTTTAATTGGGCCCCTTTAAGGGAAACTTTCGGAAAATTACAGGTTAGATTTGGGCCCCCTGAGCTGTAACCTCCTCAACCCCCCCCCCCCCCCTTTTTGATTAAAAAATAAATATTTTTTTAAAATGTTGCCTCACTCCAAAACTCTTTTTGGTGATTATTTAAATTTCCGAGCAATTTTTTTGTGTGTTTTACAATTGGGGGGGGATACATGCACACTTTTAATTTTTAATAGGGGAAAAAAAAAAAATCGTATTTACTTACAGGTCCCGGGGGGAGGAAGTAAATGCAGGGAACAGGTTGGGCACTTCCCCGGGAAAGGGAACAAAAATGACCAGATTGGGCACCCAGGGGTTTTGGGGGTCATTTGGGGGTCTTGCTTTGTCTAACCCAACATCACACCCGGTTTGGGGATCCCTTTCTTTAACTTTTCACAGGCCGGGCCTCAAAAGGGTGGTGGGTGAGAAACACTAGAAGAAAATGAATTTTTTTACAAGCATAACAAATCCCAATTTTGACTGGAAAAAAAATTTGGGAGAGGTCAGGGGTTTAAACAAAAATTAGGATACCCATTACATATATACAGTTAAAATTTAAAAAGTTCTGTAAAGTTTTTTAGAAGTTAACTACTGTTCTTAAAATTTACCAAGCTAGGGGTTTTTTTTCTTTCTGGTAATTTTTTTTTGGGAAGCAATTTTTTTTGAGAACCATGTTAGAGTAAGAATTTTTTTTTGACTAATAATAATTTATTTTTTAATGAAAATGGCCGCAAACCTCTACATAATTTTTTTACTGAAAAATTTTGTTATTAAGCACCTCAGTGTACAATTAAAAAGTTTAATTCCCAAAACCAAGTTTAATTTCTGATAGATTTACCTGGAAAGCACCCCTTCCCCTTAAGAATTTTTTTTTATTTTTATTTTTCACCCCGGGCCCATTTTCCCCCCAAGGGGAGGGTGGGGTCGAAAAAAAAAAAAAACTTTCACCATATTCACTCCCCTCCCCTGTCTTTCCCAAAGGGGGCTATACACTACGTTTTTTTTAAAATGCCCCAAAATTAACACCCCTCCTTAAGTTATTTTTTAGGCCCTTTTGGGTCCTGCATTTGATAAGTACAGTTTAAAAAAATAGTACCACAAAAGCTGTTTTTTGGGTTTAATTTTGGGAACCAACTTACTTATTTTTAAAATCACCCTCAATTTAAATTTTGGAATTTTTAGAATGGTTAAAGCTTTCTGTTTCATTTTAAAAGGGGAACAAAAGGGGGAACACCCTTTTTTTGCTAGGGGCCACTCCAGTTGGGCCCGGATATTAATCAAAACCTTGAAACCCCAAATGCTAGGGGGGAGTAATTTTATTTTTGGAAACTTTTTTTGTTTTTCACAAATAAAATGAAATAAAAAGAAATTGTGAAATTTTTTAAATTTTTTTTAAAAAGACAATTTTTCCATGACTGGAGGATTTTTTACTCTGAAAATGGTCTTTTGGCATTTTAACAACCCAATTTTTACCCCTTTAAGGGAATTAAAGTCAAAATAAAGTTTTTCCCTTTTGCTACTACAGGGTTTTTTTTCAGGGATATGGAAACTTCATTTTTAAGGGCTATTCTTTTTACTCAGAAGCTATTGCCCAAAATTTTTTTAAATTTTTTCAGCAACATGCAGCATCAAGATTCTGTTTTTTATTTTAAATTGACAAGAAACTCCTTTAAAAACCCCTAACAAATTTTTTTGTTTATTCTCCTTGACATTTTTTGGAAAACTTTAAAATTTTTTCCAAAAATGTATCCAAAAACATGGTGATGTTTGGGGTCAGAATGCGGCATTCCCGTTGCCATGAACCATCTTGTGATGGATAAATTTTTTGAGAATGTATATTTGGGAAATGCAAAAAAAGAAGTTTGGGAAGTCCCAGGTTATGGACTCAAAGGAAAAAGCTTTCTAACTGTTTTTTTGGTTCCCTTGAAGAAATGTGTTTTTGTGGTTTGGCATTGAGCAGTACATGGTTCCCAAGGCTTGTGAAGGTGCTAAGCAGTGGGGGCGCCGCAAGGAAATTTAAAATAAAGACAAAATTGGGACATTTTTGGGAAAGGGAAAATTAAAAAGGGGAAATTTCCCAAAAAAAAACTTTACCAAGCAGGGGGGGGGGGGGGGGGGGGGGGGGGGGGGGGGGGGGGGGGGTTTTAAGGGTTTCTTTGAAAAAGATTTAAAGCAAAAAAAAGAAATTAAATTTTTGCAAGTTTTCATTTTTTTTCACATTTTAAAAAGGGAGGGGTTTGGGTTGAAATAAAACAAAATTTACACAGGTATATTTTTTAAAACCCAAAATTTGGTTACCTTTAAAATTTCCCCCTTAATTTGCACTTAAAAAGTAATAAAATTTTTCCCCCAAGGGGTTAAGTAAGGCTTTTTTAAAATTTAAATTTCCCTTTTAATTTTTCCCTCCAAATTGATTTAAAATTTGTTCCTCTGAAAATCAACCTAAAAAGTTGAGAATTATTTTTGCTAAAAATTTTTTTTTTCCTCTGGAAGAACCTTTTAAAATTGGGGTACTTTTTTCGTTCCTTCCTTAAACTTTTTTAAAAATTTTTGTTTTCCTTTTAAACCCCTTTTGGCCTAAATTTTTTTGGGTTAATTTTTAAAATTGGGGTCCTGGAAAATTTGGAAAATAAATGGCCTAATCCCCAAAGGGGGGTAAATTTTTGGATTTTTTTTAAAGGGAGGGTTTGGGTTTTATCTTTTATTTGGGGTTTTCTTTTCCCTTTTAAAATGGGTTTTGTTTTGAGCAACCTCTCAAAAACGGATTAGTGTTTGAGGTGGAAAAATGTTGAAATTTATTTATGGAAAGTATTTTTTTTTTTGGGGATTTTTCCCCCCTTTTTTGGGGCCCCCCTGCCCGGTTTGGGGGATGGCCGATTGTTTTGAAAAAAAAAAAAAAACCTATTTTCAGTCTCAAAACAAGAGGTTTTATGAGGGTGTTTAAAGGTAGAAAATTGAAAGTGATGAGGGAATCAAATGATTTAGATAAAGAGAAATTGGATATCACATTGGAGGGAGGGAGTATGGAAGCAGTGAATATTTTCAGATATTTGGGAGTTGACTTGTCAGCGGATGGGTTTATGAAGGATGAGGCAAATCATAGAATTGTTGAAGGAAAAAAGGTGAGTGGTGCATTGAGGTATCTGTGAAGACAAAAAAACATCATTCATGGAGGCAAAGAAGAGAATGTCCAAGAGTATAGTGGTACCAACACTCTTACATAGGTGTGAAGCATGGGTTGTAAATGCTGCAGCAAGGAAGTGGCTGGAGGCAGTGGAGATGTCATGTCTAAGGGCAATGTGTGGTTTAAATGTTATGCAGAGGAATTTGTAGTATGGAAATTAGGAGGTGGTATGGAGTTACTAAAAGTATTAGTCAGAGGGCCGAACAGGGATTGTTGAGGTGGTTTGGTCATTTAGAGAGAATGAAACAAAGTAGAATGACTTGGAGAGCATATAAATCTGTAGGGGAAGGAAGGCGAGGTAGGGGTTGTCCTCAAAAAGGTTGGAGGGAGGGGGTAAAGGAAGTTTTGTGGGTGAAGGGCTTGGATTTCCAGCAAGTATGTGTGAGCACATTAGATAAAAGTGAATGGTTTTTGAGACCTGATGAGCTGTTGGAGTGTGAGCAGGGTAATATTTTGTGAAGGGATTCAGGGAAACCGGTTAGCCAGACTTGAGTCCTGGAAATGGGAAGTACAATGCCTGCACTTTAAAGGAGGGGTTTGGGAGATTGGCAGTTTGGTGGGACATCTAAACTGTCGTATCTGAGCGCCTCTGCAAAGACAGTGATTATGTAGGTGAAAATGTTGAATGATGGTAAAAGTTTTTTCTTTCTTTTTGGGTTTTTCTTTCTTTTTTGGTCGCCCTGCTCGGTGGGATACGGCCAGTTTGTTGAAAAAAATGAAAATTTTTTTTCTTTTATTAGAATGTAGGTGGCTTTCCAGTCTACAGGATTTTTCTTTGCTCCTACTGAGTTTCCCCATCAAAAAAAAAAAAAAAAAAAAAAAAAAAGGAAATGTGTGCAAAAGATTCTGGCAACTTTTCAGAACATACTGTTCAAACCAGTTTCACTCGAGTTTACTCCACAATATAATGTACCCAAAGAAATTTTTTATTTGGTTTTGGTTTTGTCAGGTTAGAGGCATTTTGACAAAGAAACTTTATGTCCATGTTATAACTGACATCGTTCAGAGGTTCACCACAGTATATGTATTGGTATCCATTTGCCAGCTTGTGTCATATGAACTGACCTATTTATCTTTATTATAACAAATAAACATTATTTATGCCTTCTTTATTCTTAAATTTTGTGCTTATTCTTAATTTTTTATATTTTATTCAAGGTTGAAGAATCACTGTTGTCTGGTAACTCTCTGGGGAGTGACAGAATGCGAGGTCGATTTGGGAGAGACGACTTCATTCCTGCCACTCCCACAGACTCAGCGAAGACACCCTCAGATCTTCACTTGATACAAATAAAACAGGAGCTGGAGACTATGGGAAGTGTAAGTATAAAGTAGTTCAGTATTCCTGTACTAATGTCTGATGTAATTGAATTTGTAAACATAATGTTTTTTGCAGTAATTTAAGGAAGCTTAAAATGTAACACCTAGTTACTAAATTCTCCACTAATACTTAGTTATTTATAGTTAGACATTCTATGGGGGTTATTTGACACCCATAGTAAACATCTTTTATAGGCAGTCCTCACTTAAAACAGTACATTGTGTTCAGAAAAATTTCTGTAAAGCAAAATCTCATTAAGGAAATCAGAGTGTCCCATAGACTTGCATTCTGTATAAATTGTATTCATTCAACAGAAAAATAAACACTTTTAGAACTAAAATATAAAATATAAAAATTACTGGTAATCAAGAACTTTGTAATAGTACATATATAAGTAGATACACTCATCAGAGGTGTATATCAAGGCTTGGGGACAAAATATACTGCAGTTTGGGTGTTATTGAGAGAGAGAAAGAGGCAGGATTGTATTCCTTTTCTTTTGAGGTAATCCTCTTCAGTCTCTGTACCACAGGATTGCTTATCATTCACTGCCCTTTTCAAACTCATTTTGAAAGGGGTACAAAGTAAACTTAACATTTTCATCTGTCTGTTTGAAAATAGCTTAAAAGCTGAGCTAGGAGCTGCATGCCAGCCTCTCGCCAGTTAGTGACAAAGAGTTAACGTTCAGCATACAGAGCCAAGCACATGCTAATGCTAATTCCCGATGCTCATCAAAATGAATTCTTGAATGAGTTAAATAATGTTCTTTCAACAAACCGATTGTATCCCACCGAGGCAGGGCGGCCCAAAAGGAAAAATGAAAGTTTCTCTTTTTAGTAATATATTCAGGAGAAGGGGTTACTAGCCCTTTGCTCCCAGCATTTTAGTCGCCTTTTATGACACGCATGGCTTACAGAAGAAGAATTCTGTTTCACTTCCCCATGGAGATAAGAGGAAATAGACAAGAACAAGAACTAGTAAGAAAATAGAAGAAAACCCAAAGGGGTATGTATATATGATTGTAAATGCATGTGTATTGTGACCTAAATGTAAGTAGAAGTAGCAAGACGTACCTGAAATCTTGCATGTTTATGAGACAGAAAAGACACCAGCAATCCTACCATCATGTAAAACAATTACAGGCTTCCGTTTTACACTCACTTGGGTTGGTTGCTGTCTTCCAACCTACTATCTAGGTTCAGTTGGATACATTTAGCTTTATTCAAAGCTAAACGCCGGTAATGGTGGAGTCCCTGTGTATGTACAGGTTTTGGCATCAACTCAGCAACATATTACACAAGATTTAATACATTTTTTTTATAATTTGCTGCCCTAGCAGAATGGAGAAACAGTCTGAAGAAGATTTTTATCAATATTGAGAGTGAGTGTATTACTTGTCATTCACGTAGGTATATTTGTGAGTTATTCAATAATTGTGGTGATAAGGACAGCTGGATCTGGATTTGATATAACAAAAGTTGTGTCATCTGTAAACAGGTCTGGCCTAAGTTTCTGGAAAGCATTAGGTAGGCCATTGATGTAGTTAAGACATAATAGAGAGCCTAGGAAGCTACCCTGTGGTACATCTGTGTTGATGGGTTGGGTTGATGAGGTAATGATATTAATGGTCACATGCTGACATCTATCATTAAGGTAGGAAGGACTTTTTGTAGGTTAGAGTATGGTCTCTGATTCCATAATGCATTAGTTTAAGTGGCAGGATGTTGTGGTCTCCTGCGTCAAAAAGTTTTTCTTAGACCAATAAAGAGGCCCATTGAATATTCATTATTTTCTAGAGCTGAACAGAGAGTCTAGCGTCTTTATTATAACATCATTAGTACTTTTCTTCTGGCGTAAAACCAAATTGGCAAGGGTTAAGAATATTTTGTTTAGCTATAAATGCATACATTTGTTTGTGTATAATATTTTTTTCAAAGCTTTTAGACAGTAATGACAAAGCAGAAATTGGCTGCTAATTGTTGATTTCTGTTGGGTCTTCTCCTTCATGGATTGGTAGAATATGTGCTAACTTAAATATGTTTGGGAGAGTCTTGGTTTCTAGAGATTTGTTAAACAATTTTGTAGTAATAGATAATGCGTCTGAGGGCTTTCTTGTAAACGAAGAGTGGTATATTCGCTTTGCTTTTTTTAGCTGGTTTAATAATGAAATTACCTTTGTAGAATTGGTTGGGGATAGGTAAAAGAAACTTTGATAAATGTTACTGAGGTAACCTTGGCTGAGGAATTTAGAATGTTGCTGGTTAGGATAGTCAAGAAGTTATTAAGTTTATTTACTGCTTCAGCAATTTGGATGGGAGGTTCATGTGATGTAGTTAGTATAATTTCTTTGGCTGTTGCAAGTTTTCATGAAACTAGTGTTTGAAAATGGGCTTTCCAGGTTTATTTTATATCTTTTTTATTTCTTGACTCTGTCAGCATAATGTGGATGTTTGGATTTTTTTTCTTTAAGCTTGGTGAGCATTGATATACAGTATATCATTTTTTCCATTACTTTGGGAATTCAGATTCTGTTGGTTGTTCTGTTTAATCTCTCTGTTGTGAACTGTTAGGTTTTTAAAGGTGTGTTTGTTATAGAGACTTTGAATTTTTTGAATAAAAAGGTGAATGCAAGAGTGAATATTTTGAAGACAAGGGAAACCATAGGGCAGTTGAGGGGACAAAGAGTGGGTGGTGTGTTTAGGCATCACTGTAAAGGCAAAAAAGTAAATGTAGTAGAGTATAGTGGCACCATGGTACTAACACTTTCATATGAATATGAGGCATTGACTTTAAATGTTTCAGCAATAAGAAGGCTGGAGGCAGTGGTGATATCATGTTTGAGTGCAGTGTATGGTGTGAATGTTATGCAGAAAATTTGGAACATGAAGATTAGAAGATGGTGTGAGGTTACTAAAAGTATAATTCAAAGTAAATATCTTGATTGTGGTAAATTCTTTCTGCTAATCAGTGTTATTGATTGCAATGATAACATTATTCACTTATGCCTAATTGCAGAGCCTGAAAGAAATTTTACTAGTTTCAGTTAGTGAAGTTATGTTAAGGATGCAACTTAGGAAACCAACTACTTATGAGTCTTCTCTTTAAATGAGATTGATATTGAAGTCTCCAGCAGTTATTAAATGTTGCCTATTAAGTATATTGTTTTCAATTTGTCTGTAAGATTATCTGGAAAGTTGACCTTGTTGGTATGTGGTGATCTGTAGATGACTTAAGTTAATGAATATTTTTGTATTTTCAGAGTGACGAGGAGCCTATGTCAACAAGTGCTATGGAGACCGTGTCCAGCAGCAGTAGCACCCTCACTACACTCCTGCGGTCTCCTCCCCACTCCACTCTCAACCATAATCACAGCCATCTTATCACTCAGCTCATCAATAGTCCTCAGAACACTTCCCTCAGTAACAATCTACAACACATCAATGGCAGCCAAACATTTGCCAGCTTGCTCAATGATTCTGAGACAGATAATGGTGGCTGTTCTAATGCACCACTTCTCCAGAATGCCTTGCAAAATAATCTTTCAAATGGATTAATAGACAGTCGACACATAAAGAGAGAACACTCTGTTGCAGCCGCGAACCCCTTGTTGGCTGGTGAGTATTCATTGTTAATCTTATATTCAATTGTCAACCTTCTGCATTTGAAGGTGATTACTTATTATCATTAATATAATCTGTTTCTTGCTCTAAAAATTATTGTGCATGTTATTTTTTTTTTTTTTTGCTTTAGTGCCTAATTTTACTTAATATTTCTCTGAATGCATTAGATTAGCTTATAATGTGATTGAGATAAATGATTAATAAAGTACCAATTGAATGTGCTAACATTATAAGTCATATACACTATAGTCTCCATATTTATCTCCTCTTTGTTATTCACGATCTGTTTTCTTATTTCAAGAAGTGTGGCCGATCTCTCATTGGGCTTTTTGGGAGGACTTTGGTATGGATTTTTCTTTCCTTATTTGTTGATAGAGTATCTCTTAAAAATGTATGCTAGAATCTCCTCACTATTTATTGATAATGGTAATTATTATTTGCATTAAAAATTTAACTTTAATTTGAACCTTCTGTTCAATTGAAATATTGTAATGACTTAAACAAGCAAAAAAGTACTGTATATTTCTCAATATCTTTTATAGCTTCTTTCTCTCTGACTTTTTATTGCTGAGAAGGCCACCAGATTCCCCTCTGATTTTTGTTTCAAATGTCGTCAGATGTTAAAAACTTTAATGAACCCATTAAATATTTGGTTCATTAAATATTTGTCAAAGATTTCTGCTTGCTTGTTTGAGTATCATAAAAGTAAAGTAACACAGATTTGCTTACACTTACAAACAGGAGTATGTAAAAAGAGTAAGGATTGTTAAGTAGTGAGAGAGTAAATTGAAATATACATAATCTAGAGATATTCACAAGTATGGCTATCTATATACAGTAGTAGAAAGAATATATAATGTAATAGGCAAGCACAATTTAGCATAAGGCTAGCAGAAATGGTGGCATTGGAGCATGAATACATTTAAAGACAAGAATTATGAGTTATAGAAAGGGTACCAACTAAAAAAAAAAATACTCTGCTACCAGCAGGTATCTTATAAAACAACATTTATTTAGTAGTCTAAATGTTGTTGTATTCATTATTCAGTCAGACCTAGTTATCACAGACTTGTTTGGGCCATGGCAAGACCGCTACAACCACAGTTCCATTGTACAAGCATGAAATCAAACTCTGAGAGGCACTCCCCGGAAAAATACTTTTTAAAACGGTTATAGTACTTATGGCACCACTCGTCCTGAATATTTAGATATCATCTTAGACAGCACAGGAATATGTACTTACAGAATGATAGACTAGCGAAGTTTAGGTTAGGCTGGAAATATCCACAGTATTTCCTCTTCCAGCTGTGTTGATACTAGTATTCAATGTAATTTAAGCTCGTATTGGACAGAAAAATTAATGGGAATTGCATATAAAATTTAAAAATTGAACATTAAAGCACATTGTAGCAGCTGGCAGTCTCTGTGAGCCATCTACAGACAACCTCCATTAATATATATACAGTTTATCTTTCTGTTCCTTTCACTTTTTCTCTTATTGTTTTCCATCTGTCACTGGCATAAGCAACAATGGTAGAATTACACCTCAGTCAGCCAATTGCCATCCTGTGGGAATTCTATGTAAATATGAAGTAAATTAATGTTTGCAGTATTTATTGCCAATCACTCTGAGACTAGGCCAGTATGCATTGCTACTATTGCCTCCTTGTTAATCACAAAAAAGTTTTTGAGAAAAGGCAAGTGTTGCCTTTCTGGCTCTGTCTAAAAAATTTTTACTGGGTTCAGAGTCATTTTATGGAAAAATGTTTGTTTAAATTTTTTGCTTTAGCATCTACCAAAGGGCAGTTCATGTTACACTTGCTGAAGTAATCACCTTATCATATGATAGTGAAATTCCTCCTTAATAAGAGCCAAGATAACTAGGTCTGACTGTACTTCTCTCTCTCACTATTACTGTATTCTCATTTTGTATAAATCAGAGGAATCGAGTTAAATTTATTATCTATATTTTTATTAAAGGAATAGCCACTGTAGCCAGGGTGTTAGCCTGTCAGCCACTCTTGATGGTTCCCATGTAGGCTGTCAGTCACTCTTGATGGTTCCCATGTAGACTGTCAGTCACTCTTGATGGTTCCCATGTAGACTGTCAGTCACTCTTGATGGTTCCCATGTAGACTATCAGTCACTCTTGATGGTTCCTATGTAGTTCTGTCTTCTCAACCCACCTCTTAGTTATTAGAATTTGTTGAATGCAGGTTACTGTTTCTTTATGCTCATGTGGGTTTTCATATAGTATCAAGTTATCAGGTTTTCATTGTATTGCTAGTTTGAATTAATTCTCCCTTCTCTACCATAGCTGAATATCCTAACACTGCCTCTTGTAAATACAGTACTGTAATACATTAATAGTATTAACTTGCTTTGCCAAAAGAAAGTTAGGCCTGAAACCATTATGCCTCTTTGAACTTCGACTACCAGCCACAGGATGGGTGTGTGAGGTGCATAAAAGGCCAGTCACATCAAACCTTCTTTGGCATACTGTTATAATACATGCTCTCTGCCAATCCCTAGGTACCTTCCCCTCTTTCATACATTTATTAAACAAAAGTACCAACCACTCCAACACTATATCCCCCCCTGCTTTTAACATTTCTGTCATGATCCCATCAGTTCCAGCTGCTTTACCCCCTTTCATTATTATAATCATTATAATTATTTTAATTATTATAATCATAACTAAGTGCTAAACCAGGGCTTAGGGAAAGCCTGTCATTGACTGAAGTATGGGGTGGGGTGTAGGTGTTTGGCTGTGCTGGGGTTTAGGCAAGGAGGTCCACCTGACCTAATTGGGAATATGTTCCATTTTTGTTTTGAAGGAAACTTATTTCCTATCCATAATCCACCCAGATTTGGGCAAAATCTTCGCCAGACTTCTGGGAATGGGGCTTATACAACATATGCTGCCATAAACTTTCAGAAGCAACAACAACACTCTAACATGTTGCTACCACTCATGTCTTGTAATTGCATTTCTTGTGTATTGTTCACATCCACTTCATATTGGTCCTCAAATTCTGTATTTCCACCTCAGACTTCCGCTCTTCCATCAAACAGTACTTATGACCTAAATAAGTCTGATGGAATAATTGTTATTGCATTTATAAAGGCATGGGCTTAGTGCTCATTTTTAGTATATTAATGCACTCACTTTAAATTTGGAGAAGAAACTCCTATCATCAAGGGGATGCTTTGGTACTGGTGAGGAGCTCTTAATCCAAGAATTAGAACCACCTCTTCCTTCCCTGGACCAGACTCAATACTGCTTGTGCCCCACACACTGTATGACCTCTGTGGGGTCAGGCTTTGTGGCCTTTGCACACCGCATCATTTCAGAATAGAGTTTCTCAAGAAAAGCTAAGTGTTGCTGAACCTCCCTACCTTCATTGCCTACAAAGCTTCTCTGTTCTTTCTGTGGGACCTACTCCTTCTGTGGGTAGCATGGCTTGCACTCACCAACTTATTAGATCTTTGAACTTACTAGGGGTTTCCTCTTGATTTGCTGTTCTTGTGAACTGTGTTTGCTGTATTTTAAATATTTAATCACTGTACTGTATATGATTATTTAAATTATATTACAGTATTTTTTTTATTTGTTTATGTATATTTATTTTAAGAGATAAATCCATATGTATCATTCATTGTAAGGAGTGTTGGAGAATCAATCTCCAGCTATTAAATGCAGAGTACAGATTTGACTTCACTTGTGTAGTTTGGTATTAGTCCATCAGAATACTTTAAAGATACTGTATTGCACTTTTAGTTGATGAAGGTAAACAACTGTGCATTAAAATGCACAAAAATATTTGACATTACATTTAACAGTTGAGCAAATATTCTCACCCCTTTTAGAAAAATGTTTTATTATTTATTTATCTTTCTTTTAATGCACCAGCTGTATCCCACTGAGGCAGGGTGGCCCAAAAAGAAAAACAAAAGTTTCTCTTTATAAATTTAGTAATGTATACAGGAGAAGGGGTTACTATCCCCTTGCTCCTGGCATTTTAGTCGCCTCTTGCAACATGCATGGCTTATGGAGGAAGAATTCTGTTCCAGTTTCCCATGGAGATAAGAGGAAATAAACAGTAACAAGAACTAGTAAGAAAATAGAAGAAAATGCAGAGGGGTGTGTGTGTTTATATATGTTTGTGCATGTATGTGTAGCGTGACCTAAGTGTAAGTAGAAGTAGCAAGACGTACCTGAAATCTTGCATGTTCATGAAACAGAAAAAAGGACACCAGCAATCCTACCATCATGTAAAACAATTACAGGCTTCCGTTTTACACTTACTTGGCAGGACGGTAGTACCTCCCTGGGTGGTTGCTGTCTACCAACCTACTACCTATATTGTTTGATAATGTATACATGTATAAGAATCTTTGATTCACGCTGCCGTGAAAGTCATGGACGATAGTGAATTACCTGTCATTTAAATTAATTTAATACAATAATTGAAATATCAGATATTGTTATAGTAGAGACTGCTGTATTATGATTTTATATATAATACTCTATCTCATTTTTCACTTTATTACAATATCATGAAAGATATGAAAGTGCAGTTCTCTGCGTACGAAAGCGTTGTTGTAACTTAAAGATCCCCGAAAGATGGAGTTTGCAAGATGGTCCCATTAAATGACCAACCTCCCCCCCCATACACACACACGCTCGCCTGATAACACATCTTTAGACTTCTTGGGAGGTTTGTGTAGTAGTATATTTTCTACATACCAGCAGCTGACATTAACTCTTCCTGTGCTAGAGTAAATGATGGCACCAGAAGTCACACCATATATATTGGCCAGCACCTGGATTGAACCGGTGTATCAGTTAGATGGGTTATGCGTCACTAGTGGTGCACATGATGAGATTGTATAAATTAAACTTATGTCAAGTCATATAAAATATATTAGTTCATCCATAATATCCAGAAAACTAAGGTTTCATATCTGTTATCATTTCATCCAAAATAAGAAATGAAATTGGAAAAGGACTTTATGGATACTTATGGTTGTACTTGTTTCATTGTACTGATACTTTTGTCATTGTAATGTAGAGTATACTACATCATTAATTGTATTATTATATTCATAGGGAAGCACTAAGCCTATAAGGGTCACACAGCTGGAATAGACAATAGCATTTATAAAAATTAGATTAGAGTTTTTTTGGTGCACTTCTTTAAAAATTAAGTTACATTTGATTGGAAGACAAATGACTGTAGCAAAATGTTGTTTATGTAGCAAATAGCATTGTAAAAGGGGTGCAGTGTGTGTTAAGACTCAGTAACGTAACATCATGTAGATCTTGTCTCAAGTATCTTGCATTTAAAGGTTTTTGCTAATTAGATTACAAATTATGTACAGCTCTTTGTATTTTAACACACTGGGTATCCCCCAGTACAGTAGAGCAATCCAACAAAGAGGAAACGCATTTATCATCATTCATTCAGTTGCTACCTTGTCAGAAGCATGCTGACATCATAGTTCAGAAAGGCCCTCTCAACTGCAGTATTCTCACCCCTCCTACAAAGCACAAGCACTGTACTTCCTACCCCCAGGATTCATGTCTGGTTATCTGGTTTTTCCCGAATCCCTTCATAAAGATCACCTTTCTCACACTCCATTAATTACTGAGCTCTTAGATACAGTAATTAATCTAGCAGCAATCATTAGGTTCCCAAGATAGGAGCAATTGGTATATTATTTTATTGCCTTGGATTATTTTCATTTTCTCTTGTTTTCTGCAGCTCATTTTCCAGATGACATTTTGAAAATACTTCTTCATTTTAGGAACCAGTTTTTTATATATCAAGTCATTCTTCATATTTATACTGGAGTGACATGATATATACATCTACACCATTAAGATGGCTGTAAATCTGTGCAGTAAACAGTTCACCACACTGCTGTAGATCTACATAATGATCAGTTACTCTCACTATTATAAATCTACATAATAAACAGTTCAAAAGTGGCAGTGTTTAAAGCTAGTGTAGTGAAGTCTTCCTCCTTGTGGGAACGCTGCCATCAAGACAACTTCTTGGATGCCAGTGAGGAGTCTTTTTTTATCTAAGGAATTGTATTGACCTGTCCTTGGATTGACTGATTGCCTCCCAGGCACTGTGGCTCCCTGTGAGTTTAGTGCCCCTCCCATGGGCATGATTTTGAGAATACTGTTTAAAAACTAGGCCTTGGATTGACCAAGCATTTGAAAGATCGACCCTGAGAAATCTTGATTCCTGCAGTACCTTGCACTTTAGTGGTTGAGCACTTGGTTCAAACCGGAAGAACTCTGGAACAGTTGACCCGCCTTACACACAGTTGTGTGTAAGGCGGGGCAAATCTTGTGACAGTGGTTGGACCTTTTTACCTATCAGTAAGTAGATACCTAGGAATTAGTCTACTGTTATGGGTTGCATTTTAGTGGAGAGAAACCATGGATCCCAATGACTGTAATGTGCCTTGCCTCTTTCTTTTGTTTTCCTGAGTTATTAACACTTTCAGGTTATTGATCTGAAGAAGTTTCTCTTATTCTACCCTAATGTAGTTTTACCACTTAAGTTACTGGAGAGAGTAATGCACTAACTAAAGCTTAACTTTCTTGTATAGGTTGAATGAGGTAGTTAATTTGCCCACTACTAATTGTGATGTATAACTTTGATATCTTTTATTGGTGCATTCTTTGCTAAATTTCTTCTAGACAGCACAGTGCATTCTGCAGTCACTGTTCTGAAATCAAATTGTTAATTAAATTTTTGTTATTATAAAGTGTAGTGTGTTGGTTTCCCTAAACCAGTAGATTTTTTTTAATAGCACACTTATCTGTAACAATTTTAATAATTTATTTATCATTATTTAGTTAAGGTGTTATTTATTTTAAACTACCTATAACCACATTATTCATTAAATGGGGTTGTACTATAATCTGCAGTGTAATGACATTCCTGTTATTGAGTATGTGATTACCTGGGCTCCTCTTGTTACCATTTCCAACACATCTGTTCACATCGAAACAGCCTCTGGCTGTGGTAGTAATCTTCCAGTCACACCTCCATGGCTCCATTATGTGTAAACACCTTCTCAGATTTAACATAGGTTACAGTTAGAATGACTCTGATGTGAATTGTAAATGACTGTAGTTACTTTGATCACAAAATGTTCAAAGGAATGTATTCACTGCAGTAAATTCACACACTGTTCACTCAGCGTCAGTGTGTGTACTTCTGAAACAAGTCACTAATCATTCTTTTAATTAGTGTCTGTATGACTTTTATTAGCAAGTGTCTGCTCACCCAGGTTTGGATTTGGGTCCTTCAGTTTACTCTTGTATCTTTAGTGATACATTCCTTACCAAAATAACATTCTGGTTAACTGAATTCTGGTTTACCCAAGTGATACCTTCAGGCACGATTGTTCCTGTCAGGCTGATGGTTAATCTTTCCTGTTATGGAGGAAGCAGGAGTAAAGCTTTGCAAATTTTTAAGTGACTATTTTATTCTAAGGCATCTGGAAGGCAATGGGGAGTGAGTTAGAGATAGAGAATGTGAAAAGGGAGTGAAAGGGAAAGAAAACTAGAGTTAAAGATATGGTGAGAGGGAAGGAGAGGGAAAAAGTGCTAGAGAGTGAGATAGATGTGGAGACAAGGAGAGAGAGGAAGAGGAAGGGGTGAAAGAAAAATGTAGAGGGTTATTTCATGCCATTGCTTGTTCAGTTTTGTAATGTGATGTGTTTTGTGATGTGATGGGAGATTGGGGTTACCTCCTTCAGTTCAGTTACTGTATTAATTATAATCTTAGAATAGCTATATTTTTTAATGTAACATACTGCATGCACAGTTGTCACTTTTTCATTTCAGTATAGAGAATAGAAGATGCAATATAAATTGTTCATCAGGTCAAGTGGTGGACAGGTTAGGGGTCTGAGCTAGGTGATGGATGTCTTCTGGGTTGGCAAGTCATTTATAAATTATACAACTGGGTGTGTTTTGAGTGATGGTAGTGATGAGAGCCAATTTAAAATAGCACTAGTGACATAGGTCAGATTCATCTGATGACTTGCTGGGTATATGGAAAATCTGTGGGATAGTCATGGGTGTTATGATGCATAATGCAGGTGTTGTTCAAGTTGCCTCCTCTTGTCCCTCCCTCCCTCTCCCCTCTCTTTCTGTCTCTCTTTCTCCTCTCTCTCTTTCTCCTCTCTCTCTTTCTCCTCTCTCTCTCTTTCTCCTCTCTCTCTTTCTCCTCTCTCTCTTTCTCCTCTCTCTCTTTCTCCTCTCTCTCTTTCTCCTCTCTCTCTTTCTCCTCTCTCTCTTTCTCCTCTCTCTCTTTCTCCTCTCTCTTTTCTCCTCTCTCTCTTTCTCCTCTCTCTCTTTCTCTTCTCTCTCTTTCTCTTCTCTCTCTTTCTCTTCTCTCTCTTTCTCTTCTCTCTCTTTCTCTTCTCTCTCTTTCTCCTCTCTCTCTTTCTCCTCTCTCTCTTTCTCCTCTCTCTCTCTCTCCTCTCTCTCTCTCTCCTCTCTCTCTCTCTCCTCTCTCTCTCTCTCTCTCTCCTCTCTCTCTCTCTCTCCCCTCTCTCTCTCTCTCTCTCCTCTCTCTTCTCTTCTCTCTACTCTCTGTCTCTCTCTCTCTCTGTCTCTCTCTCTCTCTGTCCTCTCTCTCTCTCTGTCTCTCTCTCTCTCTGTCTCTCTCTCTCTCTGTCTCTCTCTCTCTCTGTCTCTCTCTCTCTGTCTCTCTCTTCTCTCTCTGTCTCTCTCTCTCTGTCTCTCTCCTCTCTGTCTCTCTCTCTCTATCTCTCTCTCTCTATCTCTCTGTCTCTATCTCTCTGTCTCTTTGTCTCTGTCTCTTTCTCTTGTTGCTCTGTCTCTGTCTCTCTCTCTCTCTCTCTCTCTCTCTCTCTCTCCTCTCTCTCTCTCTCTCTCTCTCTCTCTCTCTCTCTCCTCTTCTCTCTCTCCTCTCTCTCTCTCTCTCTCTCCAAACATAACACTGTAATATAATATCTGAATGTAATGAACTAATAAGGCAGACAGGATGTCTGTTTAAAAAATCCATTGCAATGAAATGCTCAGTGCAGTGGACTTGATCTGTTGAATGGGGAGCCCACCAGACACACACACACATACTACCACTTGTGGATAATTGTCCAGTGCAGCAGACTCTGTCGGCTGTATCAAGCCTTTGTCCAGCCATATTTTTTGTCCACTTTTTCCAAAATTCATTACACAGAGGTCCATTTTAACAATGTTTTACTGTATTAATTTGCTAACTTTCCTTACAACACCTGTAAGTTCCCCATGCTACAGCTCATATGATTTGTTGTCAAAATTATTCAGTGTGCAGTACTCTTTTGTGTTCAGTTTGAAATGCACTATTTATATTTTTGAAGAATAAGAAGGGTATAATGCTGTGACTGGAACAATACACACATACCTGCACACAGGAGAATTAAACTTATGATGATGTTTTGGTTTGACTTGGACCACTATTACACTACTTACTACTACTACATATACCATTATACTTCTGTCTCTTCTTGTTCTCCCGGTCTTGCCTCCCCTCCCCTCCCTTTCCTTCTTGTATATGTATGGTGGCTCCCTTCCCTTCACACTTCTGTGTGACTAGTTAATGGTCCACATCGTACTGCAACATCATCATAAGTTTCATTTCCCTTTATGTGGATCTATGTGTATATTTTAGAAGCCAAACAATTTTTTTTCTTAGGACTCAAAATATCGTTCATTTTCTCGGCAGGACTATTATCATCATCGTATGACCGGTCGATGGCCAGTCCTGTATCAACGCCCTCATCAATGCCCACTCTGCCTGGCCTACTGGGACATGTGAAGGTCAAGAAAGAAGTTCTTGATCGTCCACACGACTCCTGTAAAGGTAAGTACACAAAATAGAACTTTATAGCTTTGATTTTATTTGTATGTACACTATGTATGTTTATATGTATGTATGTATGTATGCAGAGTGATATAAGTATATAAAATTGTCAACTTTAAGCTATCCTTTTCAATTGTTGAAGTTGAATGTTTGAGTTTTTGTCACTGTTTCCAGTGTCTTCCTCATAAAAGATTCATTCATTCTGTGCGTTATCTCAGCGTCTTCCCATTTTACTGTGTGGCTACAATATTTCATATGTTGGAAAATGGCAGAGAGTTCCTAGTCATATCTAATTAAACATTACTGTTCATTAATTCTAGGAGTGAGACTTTGACCAATCTCACCCATGTAAACTAACTCACACTTGTGGAAAAAGATACTTATGTACAGTTCAGGACATTTATTAGAGGAAATATTTCACCACAAGTGACTTCTTTGGTATCATTATACCATTTTTCAATTAACTCAGTTATTGCATAGTAGTTTGTTAACACTAGAGTTTCAGTGGTGCTCAGTTTCTTGTGTGTTTTGTTTCAAGAAGAAAATTCTTTCTCAAAAAAAGAAAAAAATGCATCACCAGTGAAACTCCAGGAATTTACAAAATACCTGGCAAGAATTGTGAGGTAGTTTTCATGAGTAAGATTGGTCGTAGTCTGACAACAAGAATAATCGAATATTAATGATCACATTTGGAAAGTCACAGTTAGAAGCTGAACTATTATATATAACCCTCCTAATCTGTTTCACTTGTCTCCATGTGGGGGTGTTGATAATAAATATAGTACAGTATATGATAAGGTGAATCACCTCATAGGCAGAAAATAAAACACAAAGTAAAAAGAATCTGTGTACAATATATCTGCTGTAATCAGAGACCCTCTTCGCAGTATGAACGTTGAAGTCTTTATAAAGCATGTCATTCAGCAGTAAGGAATGTCAGGACTAGCTTTATTTTGTGTTTACTTCCTCTATTGGCAACTGAACACAACTTGGCTCCCCCAACAGTTGCAGTTTTTACCCACACACGTTTCCACAACAGTAACAAGACAAGGAGGCCACGTTACCACAGAAATATTCTTCTTATTGGGTATTATAGTGCCAAAGTGGCTTTGTGTTCACATGAATGCAACTAAAATTAACATTCAGAGAAGGTAATTACTGTAATAAGAGAGAGCGAGAGAGAGATTCTGTAGATAGATCAACATGTACTATACAGTACTGTATTTGAAAAATATATAAGGCTATGATGAAATCAAAATGAACCTGAGTAACCTTGAAATATTTTTTATTTGCCTAAATTGCAAAGCATCTGTATGTAACTAAATAATTGTATATGTATGAAGTGCACGATGTAAGACTGTTTTGTAAAAATTCTTTGTCAAATGTATCAGTAATTAAAGTAAGTTTCACAAGAACAATAATGGAGTTTGAAAAATATAAATAAACAAATGAAAGGCAAATAAAAAAGTTCACCTGTGTTGTGGACAAATGTAGTGTGTATAAAACAAGATGTATAGAGCACTAGTGTATTGAATGAGGAAGCAGTGTAGTGTGCCAGGGTACGACGGGACATGCTGATAGAGAGCAACGCCCTGCAGCTTTGCGGCGGAGTGCCCAAGGTTGAGTATGTTGGCAGTGCCACAAGGCTGACGCAGGAACATCTTTCGCGCCAAAATCTTTTTCCCTTCCCTATGCCACGTGTGCTGCGTCGCAGTGTTTCTCAACCCTGGCTCTTTTTTTTTTGTTTTTGCTGTTTTTTAGTACAAATTGTCTTGTTCTTTTCTGGCATTGGACTACAACTTGGCACGTTTAGGTCTATAATGATGATGATGATGGAAGACAGAGACAGAGACATGACTCACTGCAGAATATTTGAGGAGTAGGAAGTGTCAAGTATGACTACTGCGCAACATATTAAAGTAAGGAGAAATATTGTAAACAAAAGAACTGCATGATATACTAGTGAATATTCTGTGCATGTACACAAACATGCACACACATGCACATACACACACTGTGTATATTATGTATGTGTATATACATACAACCTCTCCTCATTGAACGATGGAGTTCCGTTCCTAAGACAATGTCGGTGAACGAATTCATCACTAAGTGAGGAGCATACTATAATGGTAGTGGGTTTATTTCAACTATCTTTGATATTGTTTTAATGTCACCTTTGCACCATTTATAACATTTCTGGTATATTTTTAAATTTTTATGCAGTAGTGTACTGTATACAGCCTCTCCTCACTTAGCAACGTACTCGTTTACCTACACCTCGGACTTACGATGGGCTCTCGGACGAGTATTCATACCTAAATAATTTATATTAGAGCTGATTTCCTCTATTCTGTTTATTTCAATATACAGTACACTTCTTTATAAACATTTAAAAATATACCAGAAATGTTATAAATAGTGAAAGGTGACATTAAAACAATATCAAAGATGGTTGACACAAACTCACTACCATTATAGTATGCTCCTCATTCAGCGATGAATTCGTTTAACAACGTGATCTTAGGAACGGAACTCCGTTGTTAAGTGAGGAGATGGTGTACTGTAATAAACAGAATACGTAGATGAAATCAGCACTAATATTCATTATTTAGGTATGCATGCTGGTTGAAGAGCCCATCATAAGTCTGAGTCATCGGTAAATGAGTACGTTGCTAAATTAGGAGAGGCTGTATGTATATACGTATATACACACACAGCCTCTTACACTTAGCGACATACTTGTTTACCAACGACTCGGACTTACGACGGGCTCTCTGAACAGTTTGCATACCTATATAATGTATATTAAAGCTGATTTCCTCTATTGTTTAATACAATACATACAGTGGAACCCCGAGTTTCGAACGCATCAACTATCGAACGCTTCGAGTTTCGACCGCTTTTTTTGCACCAATTTTGTCCTGAGTATCAAACGTGCCCCATGTTTCGAACCATGTACCAGACCTGTCTGCCTGTCCACACAAGCATCGTGAGCCAGTCTAGCTTTGTTTATCCTTGAGTGAACATTACCCTGCACGCTCATCCAAACATTTCACAATAAATTTAGTGCTTGTTTATTGATTGTGACTGTGAAATAAGCCACCATGGGCCCAAAGAAACTTCCTAGTGGCACCCTTTTGGTAAAGAAAGTGAGAAACACCATAGAAGTGAAAAAAGAAATTGTACAAAAATATGAGGCAATGTGCTGCGGTGGTTGAGGCAATGGTTGAAGCAGTGGTGGAGGCAGTGGTGGAGGCAGCAGTGGAGGCAGTGGTTGAAGCAGTGGTTGAGGTAGTGGTTGAGGTAGTGGTTGAGGCAGTGGTGGAGGCACTGGTGGAGGCACTGGTTGAGGCATTGGTTGAGGCAGTGGTTGAAGCAGTGGTTGAAGCAGTGGTGGAGGCAGTGGTGGAGGCAGTGGTGGAGGCAGTGGTTGAGGCAATAATAAGTCCTCCCTCTCTCCTCCTAACTATCTTCCAGATGCCAACAAGAGTCTTCAATAAAGGTATATAAATGTGATTTTAAATGTTTATTTAAATGTTTATTTATCTATTTCGTTACTCATTTAACCCGTAAACGGTCCAAATGTATATATACATTCTCTCGGGAAGTGCCCCAAATTTTTTGAGAATTTTTTTTTTTTAATAGGAAAAAAGAGCATATGGTACCCAGGCATCCCCAATTATTTTAATATGGCACACAGTGAGTGCGCACACCCATTCTCTCATGTCTAGGCGACTCAGGCTTATCGTGGCAATGTTGAATGTATGACAATACGTATATATACGTTTGGGGCACTAGCGGTAAAAACGTATATATACATTACATTGTCTGAACTCTATCTCGTTCTTTCTCTCGTTTACTAGTTGGCTCTTACTGACGATGGCGTCTAGGCTTAGCTGTGATAAAACGAGGAGTCGTAAGCCTCTTGCTTTAAGTGCCAAGTTAGAGGATGATGGCGTGTCCTTCTGATTTTAGTCAATAAACACCCTGCTACTCACTTCTCACACATTAATATTAACCCTTTGACTGTTTTGGTTGTATATATACAGTGGACCCCCGGTATTCGATGGCATCGGTCTTCGATAAATCCGGTATTCGATGCATTATATTGCAAAAAAAATTTCCTCGGTATTCGATTGAAAACCCGGTATTCGATACCATTCGTACGAGACCTGTCCACATGTGGCCTGAACTGCCCCATGTGTGCCAGTGTTTACAAGCCAGCCAGTGTGCGCGCATCTAAGGATACATTCGGTACATTCCATATTATCCATATTATCACTGTGTTTGGTGCTTGTTTCTGCAAAATAAGTCACCATGGGCCCCAAGAAAGCTTCCAGTGCCAACCCTGTGGTAAAAAGGGTGAGAATTAGTATGGAAATTAAGAAAGATTTTGAAGGGTTCGGGGCTAACCCTGAGAAGCCTATACCAGTTGTGGAATACATTGTGCCTACTTCAAAAATTAAGGAAATGTGTGCACAGTGGGTTGAAGTGCAAACCTTTATGGATGAAAATCACCCTAACACAGCTATTACAATGACAATGTTGTGGCCCATTTTAGACAAATCGTAAAGGAACGGGAGGTACAGAGCTCTATGGATAGATTTGTTGTGCGACAGAGGTCCAGTGACTCTCAAGCTGGTCCTAGTGGTATTAAAAGAAGAAGGGAAGTAACCCTGGAAAAGGACTTGCTACCTCAAGTCCTAATGGAAGGGGATTCTCCTTCTAAACACTAACACCTCTCTCCTCCTTCCATCCCATCAATCATCACCAGATCTTCATTAAAGGTAAGTGTCAATTATTTTATTGTTATTGTAATTATTCTATTGCATTAAACTTAATATTTCATGTAGTAAATTTTTTTTTTCGTACTTTTGGGTGTCTTGCACGGATTAATTTGATTTTCATTGTTTCTTATGAGGAAAATTGATTTGGTTTTCGATATTATCGGTATTCGATGAGCTCTCAGGAACGGATTAATATCGAATACCGGGGTC